AAAAATTCCCAAAAAAAAAAAAAAAAAAAAAAGAGGGAGAAGGGGAGATTTCTGGCTTCTCATAAAGCATGGGCAGATCTAGCAACACTTCCCCACCTCTGCCTGGTGACTTTGAGCTGCAGCTGCATAACAACAGGATTTCTCTTAGATTAGTCTCAGTATTATAATAAAAGCAAAGGTGAGTGACAAGGAGGTTCCAAGGAAACAAACTCAGGTGAGCAGAGTTGGCAGCCTGTTACCTGGAAGAAAAGATTCAGCCTGGAGGCCCGGCTGGCAATGGGCTCAGCAGCACCGGTGTCCAGCAGATTCCGCGCTCCATACTTGAATTTCAACATCTCCCCACCAGTGCTGAAGGGAGACAAGAGAAGGTTAAGTCGGTACTGATGATTTGAGGTGGAAGGGCTTGAGAGATCCTGACCTTCCTCAAGATATCAGGGATAGAGAGGTGAAGATCAGCCACCCACACAGGTCTTGGGATACTTAGTCTGGTGATGAGAATAAAAACCAGATTTTTATTCACTGCAACAGGTGATGCACTTAACTGACCCACTCGCTTACTTACAAATTTGTTTATTATCTGCCCCTCTTAAAATGTAAGCTCCACAAAGACAGGGAATTTCTATCCTCACATAGTGGGGACACATACAGTCTGGTACATAGTAGGTACTATTAAATAGGTACAGAAATGACAACATTGGCAAATTACATATGTTGGAAAATGATAAAGTGCTATGAGGTTAAAAAAAGCTTCAGCACTGTGAGGGCAATTGGGGCATGGGTGTGGGGGGGGCGGTGAGGGTTGGGGCGGGTGCAATTAAGTGCAGCCAGAGTCGACTTGACTAAGAAATAACAACTGAACCAAGGTCTGAAGGGAGTGAGCAGCAAGCCTTGCTGATAGATAACTGGGGAAAGAAAAGCACCCCAGGCAGAGGGACCAGCCAGAGCTAAGGTTCTCAGGCAGGACCTGGCTTTTTCTAGTAAGAGCAGGAAGCCCAGAGGGGCTGGAGCCCAGCGCAAGAGGCCAGAAGTAGGTGATGGATGGATACCCGGACTGTGAAGAAGAGACTAAGTACAGTGGTACCTCGGTTTTCGAACGAAGACCGTTTCAGTTCTGAAACATTCAAATACCAAGGGATCAACAGCCGACAGCTAGGCCTCAGGATCTTGCCCTCAGCGGAGGCCCTGTGGCATGTTCCACTTCGGAGGCCTGTTCGAAAGCAGCAGCATTTACTTCCGGGTTTACGGCGTTGGTAAACCCAAATGTTCGACTTGGGAGACGTTCCAAAACCGAGGTACCACTGTAGATTAAGGTCACACAGGTAGAAAGCCGCAGCCGGACTCCACTAGACAGAACAACGCAGGTAACGCTGACAGGCGGCAGGGCCGGACCCCACTCAGGTTCCGAGAAAAGCAATTCCTCCTGCCCCGGGCACCCCACCCCCACTCCGGCAGACCCCTCGGCTCGCGTGGAAGCGGGCGCGCGCACCCGGGCCTGGGAACGCCCTCCTCACCCCCCGCAGCCCTGGAGGCGCGACCGCCGCCCTCCCAGCTGCGAGAGGCAACGCGGGTTTGGTGTGAGTGGAGGAGGCCCTTCCCCTGGTCTCGCGGAGTGTTGGGGTCGGGGGGAAATTGGGCGTTGAGGGGGCTCAGACTCACGCTCAGAGGACCCCGCCCGTCCGCGCTCTGCTCCTCCCTTCCTAGTCTCCCGCCGCCGCGTTTGAACGCCGGGACGGCACGGGCGGGTCCCAACCGTATTTAGGCCAATCAGAGTGTCCATACCTATGATGGGCATCTGCGTGTCATCCAAGCCCCGCCCAAGTCCTTAAAGGGACGGAGTAAATGAAAAAGGGAGCCAATCAGATTGTTTCTTCCTTTGATTCGTGACCAATGGGAATCCGGGAAGGGCGAAGCCGGCGGGGCAGGTCTTGGAAGTTTGAAATTGGCGGTTAAGCGGGATGCGGTGCTTACGGGCGCCGCCGCTCGTGTCTAGCATCCCCCGGGAGGTCGCCAGGGCGGTGTCCCCGACTTCCGTGGCCACCTACGAGGGGGAAGGCAGCCAGGCCTCGGCCTGGTCTTGTTTCTCAGTCTTGGCTAGAGTCGCAGTACTTGTTGCTTTGGTAAATCGACGGGTTTTCTGCTGCAGCTGCGGTAGCAAGTGTTTGGAGTTTGCAATTCCACCTGCCTCGGTGACGACATCCTCGGTCGCACTGCCCTGCGGAGAGCAGGTGCAGGCATTGAGGCTGCCTGAAAAGATATTTTAAAGTAAAAGGCACTAGAGTGGGAATCCAAACAAACGTATGAAAAGGTGCTCAACGTCATTGATGATCACAAAATAAGAAAAATAATGGGGTACAATAGCATGCATGCAGATTGGGGGCCAGGGGATCCGGCTGTCTGAAATGAGAGGAGCTACATGCATTCATACATAGCTGATGGGAGTGTAACTTAGTACAGTCTTGGCACTATTTGCTAAAATTGAAGATATGCACATTCTGTGACTCACTCCTGGGCACATATCTTAAAGAAACTCCTAATTATGTACCCCAGGAGGCATGTGCAAGGATGTACAAATAGTACTGAGCGGTGTAGTGGAAGCTATCCAAATGTCCATCAGAAGTAGAAAGGATCCTTTCTTATTTGTACTGTTTTCAAACAGCAATGAAAAGGAATAAGCTACAGCTAAACACAGTGACATAATGGGTCTCAGAACAATGCCGAAGGAAGGAAGCAAGACCGTAAAGCATGATTTGATTCGTATAAATTTCAAAAGCTGACCCAACAATGTTGTTTAGGGAGGGAGGTACCTACAGGTGGTAAAACCATAAGAAAGCCAAAGTCCGGAGTTGGGATGGAGGCTTTTCGGGGCATCCGGGTGCTGCTATGACCTATTTCTCAACGTGGGTGGTAATAATATGGAGGTTTTATCATTATTAAACTGTATTTAGGTATGTTCTATTTATGCATATAAAAAAATTTAAGGTCCTTTCTCTGTACTCTACTAATCCCTACACTCGATAGAACTGGAAACGTGTTATCACACTCACACAGGCACGCACATGCCCATGCATCAGTACAAAACCAAAGCTACAGACTTGCTTAATACACCTTTTCTCCCCCAAACATAACTTGCTATTCATTCCTGGGGCATGATAGCTATTATTTACCAAGCCCTCTCCCCCTTCCTTTACCAAGCACTTTATCTCATTGAATCTTTACCACAACCCTGAGAGGGAGGAACTAGAATTCACATTTTACACAAGGACGTTGAGAGAGGCCACCACGTGACTCATCCTGAGCCCTTCAGCTGTTAGTTTCCAGGCATCACAAAGAGAAGCCTTTACCAGAATCTTGAGATTTATTCATCCTAAATTAGAATGCATTGTTAACACCGTTTAGCACTGCCCTGAATCCTGCCCTGATAATCCTACTAATGTCCCTGTAGAACAATTACTGGCCTCTGCAAATCCTTTGTGAAACAGCACAGGGAATAAACAAATAAAATGAAGAATAAGAGCCCTGGCCAGTGTGGCTCAACTGGTTGGGCACCATCTGTGCATCAAGAGGTTACGGGCTCGATTCTAAGTCAGGGCACAGGCCCAGGTTGCTGGTTTTATCCCCAGTAGGGGGCATGCAGGAGGCAGCCGATGGGTGTTTCTCTCACACATTGATGTTTCTCTCTCCCTCTTCCTCCTTCTCACTCTAAAATCAATAAAAACTTTTTTTTTTAAATATATCTGTTTTTAAAACATTTTTTTTTTAAATGGAGAAAGAAACATAAAGCAAAACCCACATTAACTCTACCCTTTTTCTTTCAGGGGTAGTAACTGTACAGAAAGTGTAGAAGGAAAGGTACTAAGGAGGGGCACTCATGGCTGTGCCGATACTAAAAAAATAAGCACTGCCAACTAGAATGAATTGTCATTAGCACCAGGCTGTTAGGAAGCCTTGTGTTTTCCTTGCATGAAATGAAGCAATGACCAGTTCAGTGCTGAACATGAATCCGTGATGATTGCTGTGGTAGGAATTCTGGAAGATCATCAGAACTGAGTCATAACGAAGGACATCATGATGTTCTTGCGTTTAATCATTCGTTTATTGAAAAAAAAATTTATCGTGCCAAGCACTAGGGTACTAAAATGAAAAGACACCTACCTTGCCCGTTTCTGAGAGGCCGAGTATGGTGGAGAAATGGGGCTGCAAGCAAACAATTGTGAAACATGGCGATGGGTTTCTGTGGCAGTGGAGACGACAGAGGGCCGTGGCAACCAAAGGAAGGAAGGGCAAAGTGATACGTGACAGCAAATACCCGAAACTTGAAAATTAAAGAAATGTGATTGCCCTCTGAGCATTTGACTGGCAGATAAAACAAGCAGAGACAAGCCAACGCACCTTAAAGAGATAGGAAGAGTGACCGCAAGACTCAAACTAGATTTAGTAGAACATTAAGAATTGTACATACCACCCTCCCAAAGGAAAGAAAAAGAATTGGAGGGCTAACCCCATTCTAGACATAAAGAGGCAAAGCTATTCTGGTCCCTTGGGCAAGAAAGAGGTCCTCAAGCTATTTTAGCTACAGGTAGCTTATAAATAATAAAAATAACTACCCCTACATGAGTGCTCGCTAAGAGGGAGCCATATCCCAGGCATTACCTGTTCCCAAAAATGTGTTCCCACCACTGGTATATGTAAGAGACACTTTCAGGTCATACATATTTGTTAAATTTTACCCCCCTGCTAGGGAAAGCTGTAGCTAGTACATCGAACCAGGGATTTCATAGCTTATATCACGTGGAGTAAGGCTAAAGGAGGTATTTAAGAAGAAAATAGTGAGTAAAGAAAATGTTAAGTGAACAATAGTGTAAGTGGCACATGAATATAGGTTTTTAAAAACCTTGACATTTGGAAAATATACATTGCTTAACTTCTTTGAGCCTAAATTTATGCCCAGTGATTGTGACATTAAGAGCTAAGGGAGCCTGGCCAGCATGGCTCAGCGGTTGGGAACCGACCTATGATCCAGGAGATCGAGATTCGATTCCTGATCAGCGCACATGCCCAGGTTGCGGGCTCGATCCCCAGTTGGGGGCGTGCAGGAGGCAGCCGATCAATGACTCTCTCATCACTGACATTTCTATGTTTCTTTCTCTCTCTCTCCCTCTCCCTTCCTCTTTCTCTAAAATCAATAAAAATATATTTAAAATAAAATAAAAGTAAAACCGATATTCAAAATAAAAAAAAATTAAAAAGAGCTAAGAGATGTGAAAATGCTTTGTGAATCTAAAGCCAGCAACCCACAGACGGGAAGGAAATACTTGTAAGTCAGATATCTGATAAGGGTCTTATATCCAGAATATATAAAAAATTTTTACTCAACAGTAAAAAGACAAATAACCCAACTTTGAAATAGGCAAAAGATGTGAATAGAGAGTTCTCCAAAGAAGATATGCAAATGGCCAATAAGCACATTAAAAGATGCTCAACATCATGAGTCATTAGGAGAGTATAAATCAAAACCACAATGAGATACC